CTGCGGGGCCCTGCCTGCCCCACGGAGCCACCGAGCCCGGCCAAGGCTCGGGGAGAAGCAGCAGCACCAGCAGCACCCCTCCACTGCCGCACAAGATTTACAGCCTGACCCCCGTTGTTTAAAGACTCTCGCTCCAAGCTGTGGTTGGGACTCCAGAAAGAGCTTTGTGTAGAGGCAGCAAATTTATGAGGCTGCCTCCAAATCCCCAGCCACATCAGGGGCCAATTCGTCTTCCCAGGGCTGAGGATGAAATTAAATTATTGTAAAATAAATCTGTAAAAATGATGAAAAGACCATCACCCAGCGGCAAGGGCGGGGCGCTGGGAACACACGCGCAGCTGTGACGGATGGGGCTCAATGGGTGATAAAGCGCCCGGACCCGGCAGCTCAGGGATTTTTGCTGTAATCTCACTAAAGAGATGTTGTTTACAGGAAAAAGGGTATTTTGGGGAGGAAATTGCATTTCAAGGTTAAAAGAAAAAAATGGAGCAAGTCTCGCAGGGAGCCCCCTCACGAGCAAGATGGCAGCAGGCGGAGCCAAGCAGGGGCCAGAGAGCAGCCCGGCCGGGGCGCAGGCTGGAGGCAGTGCCTTGCACACGCGAGTGCAACAGGCCGGGGCTGAGCACACACCAGCCAGCATGGCACGCCGCTGATACCGGGCTGCCGAGGCTCCCTGTCCAGCCCTGGCGCCAACCCCAGCACAAGGCAGGCACGGGCGGTGGGCACGGGCAGGGCTGGGGGCTTGCTGGCCCCGCGGGACCCCGCCCGGGCAGAGCAGGCGGCGACTGCCCCGGCCCACGATGAGAGTCCCGGTGGGTGCCGCTGGCCCACCCCGACGGAGGAGCAGACGCCACTCCCCAGCCCCGGTGCCGCCCCGCAGCGGAGGGCGCCTGGCCCAGCTCCATGCCAGGCAATGCTTCTTGGGAGGAGCCCCGCGCGACCAGCACCCCCCGCACCCCGGCTTGGAGGGCAGGGGGGGCGCAGCCGAGAAAGCGCTGCAGAGGGATTTGCACCTTCCCAGTTTCAGTCTCATCCTACAGGAAAGATGCCGGAGATACTTATTTTTCTTTTTCTGGGACGAATGGAAAACCTGATGCCTTCATCTTACGCTGTGTTGGCTGGCCATTTAACAACGGGCCATTAGCACAGCTCAGCACCAGGAGGGGATGTATTTAGGCACATGGTTGCAAAGACAACCCAGCACCAGGTGCTTAATAGTTTTTCAGATGTATCAGAGCTCTGCAGCGCTCAGAAAATGCAGCTGTAGGGAGTTCAGAGGCTTTATTCTTCAATTCTGTGAAGTCCCACAAT